ATAACTTTTTTGTTTTGTTAAAATTCAGCTGTTACTGAAATAGAAGAATTGCAGTAGGAACAGAGGAGAAAATTTGTGGTGTGTGCAGTAGACTGGGTGACTGCTGTCAATCCAATAAGAGAAATGTTTACATATTCTGGAAATCAGAAGATTAAATAGATTAACGACAATATAGCCTCATATATGTATTTTTTCACCCCAAATCCAAGGCCACCACCTGTGAGTCCACAGTTTTGGAGATAAATTAGACCTACAAGAGGGAGACAGTGAGCAGTGGGGGATTGTTAGTGAAAATTCCATTTTTATTTGTTATTTTTGGTGAAATCACTGAAAGCACCTTTAAGTAAAAAAAAATGGTGGGAGCCAACCTGAAACGTGACTATGATGCTATCATCATAGTTAGGCTACATAATAGAAAATACTATACAATTTATGTACGTCACGTACACTCTACAGAACCAGGTCCAGGATCCTCTTCAAGTTTGTCAGGGAGGAATGTGGAAGTGGAGGAAGAGATTGTTCTTTTTCACAAATATGGGAATGATAGTGAAAAATATAATCAAAATGCATCGTTTTATGTAAAATAGCACCAAAAATCTTCGCCAGCCACCTGGTTGGCTGTGTAAGGGGCACAGTAAAAATTCTTTTCATGGGGCCCAAAATCCCTGGCAGTGCCCCTGAAAACAGACAATGCATGTAACAGGCTGAAGTTGACACGGCGTCCCAGAATGTCAACAACCAACACACCCAGGGTACCTTGGATGTTATGTGGACGTGCAAAGTCCATGACAAATGTGGACATGTGAAGAAGTCACACTGAGGATGTGTTAATTTTTCTGCATGTACAGTTTAGTGTTTTGCAATTAAAATGGCTAAAAAGGTTTCTGTTTACACTGGATTTGGATTTTGGATAATCATTTCCTTTTTTTAACGTGTGATTGTGCTATGTTTAGTTCAATCAGATCAGCATTACTAATAAACATGACTTTATGATCATTGAAGAATAAATGTAGTTAGCAGGAGTAAAAGGCAAACGTTAGGCTGTAAACAAAGTTGAGCACCTGACTTAACGTCACCACAACATTGACAAACTCTTCAATGTGAAGATCAGACCAAAAGTAGGATGTAGCTTTTAAAGGTTTGCATCAAAAAGTAAAGTAATAAACAAATCAATAAAAAAAACTGTGTAAAAATCTTAGTAATGAAATGACTGGGGTGAAGCTTACATTTACATTTCTATTTCAGAGGTACATTTGTTGTTTCATAAAACCCTGAATACAGCTACAACCTTTGCTGTCATGAAAGCAGAGTAAAATTTGACATGCTTACAGGAAAATGGTGGAAAATTGTTGGTTAAGTGACATTTTGATGATGAAAATTAAGAGTTTTAACATGTTGACTTACGTTGAAATTTATTCAGGAAGTTGATGTAGAAAAATAACAAACATGAAACTCACAGCTGACGGTCTGCAGATACAGGGTGAACTGCCTCAATTGTCCCACTGAAGATTTATTAGAGGAAATGTAATCACTGAGAAGGTCTGAACTTTGGAACAAAGACCTGAAGTCAAACATTAACAGTATAAATCCTTAGCCCAGGACCATAAAGATCAGGACCCAGTATTTCCAACGTCTGGTTTCCAAGATCTGATAGGATAGGGATAGAGGTAATAACCAAAAGTGGGACCCCTCCCACTTGTTTTTT